CTGCAATGGCGCCTCCAGGCCTCCTCTTTCTGTGAACCCAAAGCTGAGCTTTCACTGAAATTTTAGCAGTATTTTTCATTTATGGAAATTTGTCCAATGTATAGTACATGGTGGGTTTGGATTCAGAGGCTCCTTGTACAATCAGATGTCGAGTAAGTGTTTTGAACTGCAGTACAGTATTAGGCTTTAACAGATATAATTTCATTTGGCTTCTCATGTCCTACTGTATTCTACTTTGTTGTCACTGCAGACTGTTTGGTTTGTTAGTTGGAGTTCCTTTGGAATCTGCTGAGTAGCCTTTGTAGTCTGAGCTTTTAAACTGCAAATCCTTTTAAGCTCTTTCTAAGCTGTACAAAAATGTAGGACTGCATAAAGGCCTTAATCACTTTAAAGGCTTCTCTCCTTTCTTTTGCCTCATTTCTAATTAACTGCTATAAGTCTTCCAGTGACAGGATTTCATGAGGCTGTTCTGCTCTGTGTTTAGCAGTGGTAGGTTTTTCAAACAAGAAGTTTTTCTTTTTTTATTTGGTGTACACTCATCGTTTAGCTGAAAAGCTATATTTGCAGGAACCTCTCAGAAAATTTTCTTGTGAATAGTTTAGTGTTTCTGCAGAAATGAACCAGAGCTAAATGTGGCTCCGCACTACATTGTGCTGTGCTGAGTTTTCGGTTTCCACCTTAATTTATATTTCTTGGGAGGACCGCCACTCTTCAGTCTTTGGCTCCTCTGTCCTACTTACAAGCTCATGCCAAAACTTTACTTCTTTGCTAACTGCTTCTTCAGTCGGGCACTTAATCTTACAGATTCCAATGTTGTGCCTTAACACAGTCTTCACCTAGTGCTGTGTAAAGGTGGCGGTATACAAAAGCCTTTATTTCCACCTGTTGTTATAGCTGTTTAAACACAATTTCTCTGCAGGGGGCATAAAGCAGTGCAAAAAGTTCTTCCATTGGGATATTCATACCGTACATTAGCCATTAGATCTTGAAAGATTTCATTAAAATTTTTTTAAAGCATAATAGTTTGGAATTTTTACCTGAGTCATAATTTTGGTATCTCAATCTTCATAGTAGCACTGAGAAGAGATTATGGAAATCAAAGAAGTTATATCAAAGTGTGCTGAAAACTGCAGAGATTGTTTTCACTGGAGGAAAAGCATTAAATGACTTCAAACAAACTTCTTTAAGACTAAACTGGCATTTACAATGTAAGCAATAGGATTTTTTTAAATATAAACAGAGCACTATGTCATGTGTAAAAGAAACAGTATAACGATTAGGTTTACTTTAGGTTACTGCCTTCACCTTAACTAGAAATGATTGTAGAAATGGGGAGATTTTAGTGTATTGTCAAAGGAGCAGAATATGTGTGTTTCTTTCTTAGTATTTGGCTTCTGAACACAGTTCTAGCTTGAAGAAAAGACATATGTAGTGTCGCATTCTCAAACTTGCAAGGTTCTTCTGAACGTGTCTTGACATGTCCTCTCTCTTGTGCCCACTGGTTTACTCTTTCTTTCAGTCTCTTAAGAACTACAAAAGGTAGCCACACACGACACAAGTCAAAGAGCAGGGACCACACAGGGTACTAATTCCATAAATCAATAACAGATTTTTTTTTTTCTTTGTGCAATATAGAATATTTAGTAGTATTCCCAAGAGCAGTGTTATTAGAGGTGATCTTCCACTTGACTGCAGAAGTAAATGAATAAATATATCCTGTAAATATCAAATACAATTTGAGGCAGCTTGATACAAATAGTTTACATTTATTAGAAGAGTACAGTAAAACGGGGACTGCAGACTCATTAGTGGTAACTGGTCCATCAGAAAAGACAAAGGGCTATTCAAAAATGGTCTGCAGTTTACAAGAAAACTGAAAATCTGTTTTGTAACAGCCTATGAAAATAAAAAGTTAGCTTAAGTTCAAATGTGTAACTTTAAAGTATATAAAAAATTGGCAAATAAATAAAAGTTAAAATGCAGATCTATTTAAAATTATAAAGAACAGACAACTGACAACTGTATTATATAGTTATCATTTTCAGACTTGCTTAAAAGTCGGATAAACTCACAAATGTCATTTTGTTTTTGTTTTTTTTTACATGTGTACTTTTGGGAAGAAGCACCCATTTCCAGTGTTATGTATTATCGATCTGTTTTACAAATATATTATTTTTAAACAACAAAGAGTAAAAAAGGTGCTTTACCTGATATTAAACTTGCTGGTGCATACTTTGGCACAAACTGGAAAAAAAAATCTAAACATGTTTGCAAACTGCATCCATGCCTCACTCAAGGTTACATGAGTCAAAAGTTTTGTATATGCTAGTGGGTCAGTGAACCAACCTTCCTTCCTTCCCCAACACCCCTCCTCCTTCTCCAGTTGCCTACAATTATATGACAGAAAATTATGTAGTTGGAAAAACAGCAGTCCTGCACCTGTTAGTTCAAGCTTCATCTCTAGATGTCTTTCAGACATGCATATAACCACATAATCCTTTAATAGGAGGGAAGGACAGGTGTTTGGTTTTGGCTTTCAGTCCTCAAGCTTTCTTCGTAGGAATCTGCCTGTCTCCTATGTTATGAGCCTAAACCATGAGTTCTTCCTATTCCATGTTTTTAGCATTTTAGTAAAAATTGGGTGGGAAGCTCAGTGAAAAAAATAAGTTAATTTGTCAGTCTCAGGTAATAATAAAATTAGCAGAGGGACCATATATGTTCTAGCTAGTCAGTCTACTGGAGAGTCTGAATCTGTGGCATGACCAAGCAGAAGGTGAAGGGAAGGAAGATAATGCAGCGTCCCCCTTGTATGTCTCTTTTCCTTTATGCCTGCATAGTGACAAAGAAAAAAACATTGTCACTATCTCTCCTTAAGTGCTACAACTTAAAGTATTGTAAGCAATTGGCCACTCTAGGGATACAGCAAACTTCTAATCTCCACTGGATTTACTGGTGATTTGTAGCAAGCATAAGCATGTTATAAAAAGATGGCATACAGAGTGCAAGTCATTCTCTGTGGCATCCTTTCTGCATCTATGCTACATTTCAGAGTGGCTGAAAGCACCTGAATTGGCTACTTTAATAGAGTAGTTTCACTGATAAACGGGAGTGGAATGAAGGTCCAGTTCTACCTGTCTGTAGGTATCAAGTCAAATATAAATATTGCTATTGTAGAGTTTGTGCAAGGAATACTGCTGTTCAAAACATATAAAAGGTTTTAACTGAAACACTAGTGTTTTAAAATTTATTAAGCCATATCAACTTAGTTACCTACTGAAAGATTAGGTGCCCTGTAGACTTAGCAATGCATCTTGTTTAATTTGCAACTCTCAGAATGGGGATGTGTGTGTGTGTAGCGTTAAAACCAGATATTGGGGAATGGTGGTGTTTTTATGTATTTTACAGTTTGGTCAAGTCATGATGTATTTCGGGTTTGTAACTCAACTATGTGCCTCACCTTGGCTTTGCAATTACTTTAGTTTTCATACAAACACATTGCCACCAATATAAAGGTAAACATCAGTATGATATTTTTTGAGTCAGAGAAAATCAGGGATGCATCAGAACTTTTGTCTCACAAGAGTAACTTTCTTGAAGTAAGTGAAAAGGGAGCATATATAGTATGAGGAACCGTCAGAGTACTGTAATGCTGCGGAGATGCCAAGGGCCAGAGTCTTCTGGTTTAACAGTACAGCTCAGCTAGAGTTGTTGTTAGCCTACTACAGCCCTTTTTAAAGGGCACAAAAATTCTTTTCTAATTGAAAGACAAGATCAGGGAGAACCAGTTTACATATCAGTAATCCAAGGATTTTGTGCTGCTACTGCATTTAATATTTGTGGAGTTTCTTACATGTTTATGAAGACTAAAATGCCTTAGCCGGCTGTATAATGACAGTGGTGCAGACCTCTTAATTACTTTTTAGTGGTGGAAACTGCTTGTTCATAGCCTCAATGTGTGTAAACTAGAAGTGATCGCTGATTGATCTGATTTTTCTTTTAAAAAGCATAATTGCCTTAAATTGATTAACAGTTTCAATGGAGAAGCATGCACTGTGCGTATCAGCTATGCAGCTGAAATTATGTGAATGGTGCAATCTATCACCTTTTTAGTTCTAAAATTAGATGACTGTTCCAAATAGTGGCAATTTGGGAACACTTTTTTCCAAGCCTTCTTTGCCAGTAAGTGTCCTAGGTTACCCTGTTGACATAGATGTACTTCAATTCATATTTATGTATAAACACAAAGCAAGTTGTTGCAAATTTTGTCTCCTTCAATTCTGGGACAGTAGAGGAAGAAAGACTCTAGTTCACAGACCTTTCAAGTTTTCACTCTATGATCTCAGTCAACTGTATTTGAAGGTTTTCTTTACTCATTTTTTTGGTAAGTATTCTGATTCAGAGAAGGCACGTATAAAGATAATCGGAGATCTACCAGATCATAGTCATAATCCGAGATCACCAGAACAATGGGTCTAGCTAGCAATCTAATTAGTCTTTCATCTCCCCCCTAAAAAAAACCTAATCCTCTGAAAATTGAAATTTAAGTCCTTCCTAAATGGTGTCTACAAAAATGGTGTTCTAAAACACAACTTCCTGAAAATGAAAGAACTCAGAATTAACAACCAAATTCCACACTTGGACATATTTTTCAGTTAGGATTTTATGTACAAGAGCATTATAGGGACATCAGAGTAACTTTCATGTATTGGGGAGACAGCATTCCCTTAGAGAGAACAGTAAATAATTGAGCATTCCCATTTTATCAGATTAATAGTAAAGCTGAAATACCGAAATCACTCTTGCTTATTTATAGGCAAAGAACAAAGACCAACTTGGCTTCTAGAATCAAAGTTATGAATTTTTTTAAATTGAATTGAAGCTGCTGATTTAAAGATACAATGTGTAGCTTCCAACTCCTGTGCTAACTTCCCCCTCCACCCCCAATCTACTCGGTGTATTTCTGCAGAGAAACACCTTAAAATACTAAGAATTTACAGTAGCTTGCCAAAACTGCTTAGTATGACTCTGACTCTACAGATTTAACAGTCTCAATGTGAGAATAGAGATGAATGAAACAGAGAACTGTTGAATCTCTCTTACACAAATAAAAAGAATATGAAATTTCTGCAAAAGCATGTTGGTTTAAAAACTAATCTTACTTTGACGTATGCATTAAAGTGGTGGAATGTTAACGGAAATACAGATGAGCAGGGGGAAAATACTGAGTTCACGTTCTTCTCATTCTCGAAAATGATAATAAAAAAATCTCATTACTCTCAAGTTGCACAATTGAGCCTTAGAAGGAGGGGGTAAAATGTCAGTGAGGGTGGAAGCACAGAGCACATCTATGCTTGCACTGTGGTATCTTTTCATACTAAATCTCCATTTTTGTTCCTTTATTTGTGCCCCTCCACATCTGTTAGCTATTTTCTGTGCCTCTTAACTCATTTACTTTTTCCCCACTCTTAGAGACTGTTGGGATTTGGGTGTGGGTGTGGGTGTGGCCTTTTATAATAGACTGTTATGTTTATGAACCATTTCAGAGAGCTTCCGTAAACAGGAAAAGTAGCTGTTAGCTGAGGACTGAGACCTCTGTTTTTTGACCCATGGCTGACTTGTGTTCTTTTCTGCTCCTGATAACAAGAGAAAAGAAAATACAATGTGCGATTTCAAACCAGGTTCTTGGGTAACTACCAAGCAAATAGGAGTAAAATCTGATCAGGGAAACACAGCAGCAGGATAGGCTAATTATAAGATTTAAAAAACCAATAAAGCAGAAGAGGCATTGTACTGATAACAGTGCTGATAAAAACAAGGAATACTTTATTTTCCAGAGAAGGTAATGCTTTTTGGAAGATTAATAAGACGTTTGGTGATGAGCAGTGACTGAGAACCAACTAATATTTAGTATTAACCTGTAGTTCTCAAAAGGCCAACAATTAACTGTTCTACATGGTGTTTAGCATAATAAACGTAATTATTGCACTTACTGAACTTGAGATTTTAAAGAATTGTGAGAGTTATTAGTCAGAACTTGCTATATCTTTCAGCTGAAAGACTCTTCCTTTCCTTGGTCTGAAAGTGAAATTAAGTTTTCATAATGCGCTAATATGCAATGCTGAAAAGTGTGCACAGCTGGAAAGCCCAAATGCCTTATCAGTTTCAGAAAAGAAACAGTGGCAATACTTGAATGAGTGTTCAAAATGTGATGTGAAAAAGGATTCTTATGTTTTCAACTTGCAATTTTTATCTTTTAAAACTTTTTCTTAGCTTTTAGGAAGAAAAACTATCCTGAGGCAATCCTACTACGAGAAAGTGACCTCTAAATTAGGAATAGTATTCTTTTATTGAAGTTACTCTTATAGAAACTCGATAGGTTTCTGAAGTTGATGCACTTTTCTTGTATAGTTTTTACTGATCAGTTTTACTGATGAGCATTTAAGGACCCCTTATTTATTATAGCAATTCTGCAGAAGAAAAGTAGAAGAAAAACTTTTAATAGAGCCTATGTTCCAAATTTACCAGATCACTCTTAAAAAGTGATGGTTGTTTGGAAGTTAAGGAATAGTAGACTTCCACCTCTACCTTCTAATTATTAATTAAAGTTCTATATTCTTGAAAGTGAAGGACTGCATGAATAAGACTTTTTAAAAAGCAACTTGATTGGCAGTAGAGGTATTCTTCCTTCTACATTGTCTTGACTTCCCCAGCAAGAATGCTTCCAGTACTATCACATGTCCTCTTGTGCTTCAGGAAAAATAATTAATTGGTGACCTCTTTTTTTAATAGTAAAGTATTTTATGCTTAGTTAGAAAAATGTTACAGCACAAGTGCATAGCAAACATTTTGGATTCTCTGAATTAGCCTCTTTCTTTTTACTCTATTTTTATAACGAGTTATCAGTACTTATGACAACCGGACATTTTCATAACTTCTGCTCTTGAATATCATATTTGAGGACATTATTTACACACTAACTTGTCTCCAAATATTTCACAGTTACAAATGGTCAGTGGCACTGCCATTTAGAGTATGTGACAATAAGAATACTGGAAACAAGCCTATAATTAATCACTGTTGTTACTGTCTATGCAGCAACACATCTAAGAAAATTCTCTTGGGTGGGGGGAACAGATTCAATTGCCTCTGAGCTTTCGCTATTCTATTTAACCTCAGGAATCTTTTTTTTTTTTGATTAATATCTTCACAATGGGGAGGGGATAATGAAATTATAACTTCAGAGTAAGTTTTAGGGATGTGCTTGTAGCATTTGAACAAGCATAAAAGGTGGTCAAATACATGGATGAAAAAAGGTTAGGTGTGAATAAACTAATGTTTCCTTAAACAATTTTCTCTCCAAACAAAGATGAGGCTTATTTTAGAAACAGCACTTTTTACTGGAAGCCCTCTGGTGATGTACTTTCCAATAACAACTTTAAAATGTTAGGCAACTCTGCAAAAAGGCACGTGCTTTTGGTTAAAGTTAGGAAGCAAAAATGCAAAGTAACTGTAGTTGCAGAAGGAAATTAATGAAAATATACACTTTCAAAGGGAATGTATTGTGAAATGTTGACTCTACAGGACTGACCACACCTCTGCTGAAGCAAAATCTGTTTTCATACATGATGCTTTTCATTATTTTACTTTCTAAAAAATGGAAATATATATGCTTAGGAATTCTAATGATTTCACTGATGATTGAACTCTGAAGCTACTATAAATGCTCAATTTCTACTGAAAACAATGTAAACTAAGCATGCATTATTGGCTTCAAAACAATCTTTTTAGAAACTATGACTGTAATTCCTTGGAAAAAGATGAAAGTAACAGATAAACCTGTAGAAGTCCATCTCATGTAACAGACTGGTAATTCTAACTGACCCTGCCAGTACCCAGAGTCTCTCCGATTTAACAGCCTAAAAAACTCAGAAGCCCCTTGGATTGCCCCTGACTGGGAGAGTGCAGACATAAGAACCTACTTGAAAAACTACTTGCAAAAGAGACCCAGTCTACCTTCTCTGTAACTGCTTTAGAATATACAAAGTATTGGGTAAACAAGCGAAATAACCAGTAGCTGGTTTTAAGGTATGAACAATGCAAGACTTAAGTCATTAGAAGTCCGCAGAACACAGATATGCCAGTTTTGGTTCCTGAATACCATGTCTACTTTCAAATTTCAGCATATGGTAGTTTTGTTTGTGACCTCCTCTGCACTAAATTTACAAAAACTTAAAAATAGTATCTATAGGTATACCTGACATGGATTCCACTTCCTAAAGTGTATAATTACAGTAATTACTAGTGAGACATGATGAACAAATTATGCCACAAACACTGCCAAATCAATGATACAAAAACACTTTAAATAATCTCAGAGACATGTACCTGTGTTTAAATTTACTCTATGCCTATAAACTCACTCTGGTCATCTCCCAGGAGGTGCTATTTTTGAACTAAACTGATGCCTACTTCAGAAATAATAACAATTTTTTTTGTTGCTGTAGATATCCTATGTTTTAAAAACTCTTCATTTTAAACAGAAGTTTGATATGAATTACAAACATTAGCTATTTCAGAATAAAACATGAATACAATTTTTATCTGTATGTGAAAGTCAGGATGGTGTCCAGTTAATTTAAGACAAATAAACAATATTTTTTTGCTGTCAGGAGGATATCAAAGACATAAGTAATCTCTATCGTATAAAAAGAATATTAACTCTCCAAAGCTATGAATGTTGACAAGAGAAGACACTATTGTCCTTACTTGCAGACTTTAGTGGTGCAGGATAAGGACCTGCAGTTGGATGACTCTTGGATTTGGAAATTTTTTTCCAAATGTTGTTGTACATTCCTTGAATCTTTGTACATTTGCATTCACGTTACATTACTAGCAAATTAAGGCACAAGCTTTGTGTAATATTTAAAAGCATACAAACTGACAAAAAAGTTTCCCCTTGCTCTTGAAACATATATTTGGGCTACTTGTAAGCACAGTAGAAAGTAAATATGTCCAGTATGCTTATAAGGAAATCTAAATTTATGCCACTAAAATTTTCAAATGCTAGACCTTCGTATTTATGCAGTTGCTCCCTTAGCTCCAAGAAAAAAATCCATTCAAAAAGGCAAGACGCATTCACCATCCCCTCTACTTGACTGATAACAGTTCCACCTCAAACGAAGGTGATTGATTGCTCCAGCATGCTTATTCACTGTTTTATTTGGATGCTAACTTCAATGTAACAGACAAACTCTTCTAGACTATGCATATTTTGGTCACACACAGCCCTTAAACATTACCACTCACCACTACCACAAATATACTTTAAAGAGTAAAAAATGCTGTGGACAATAGAAAAGTCACCTTAACAAAAAGAAAAGGCAATGTAGCCACAGACTTTGCTACATCTCAGTTCCCCTGTCCCAGTGAAATAGGGCTAATAAACATTCCAGATGCTGCTTTACCTTCAGTCCCCTGTTTCTTACTTGCACTAGCAGCAACTGACGTCCCTTGATCTGGTGATTTTTAGCTAACTCCTAGAGAAAGTTTAAGCACCTTAATTCTGGAACTCAGACCAGGATGCTGTAACTTGTTCCTATCTCTGTGCAGGACCCTAGAAAATAATCCCATTTGCAAACAGGACCAAGAGCCATACTAACAAACCGTGCCTTTCCTCTCCTGATTGCTGAGCGTTTACTCTTTCTGGAGGAATGTTATTTTTATACAAGCTTCTCCCTTCCTGGTGGCATTTACAGTTCCCTTCTCCCCAGTGTTCTGAAATCCGATTGTAATGATTTAAGAAAGTTAAAAGGTTAATGTTTCTATTCTGACTTGTTCAGTCTGCCACAGGCTTAAAACATATCTTGGTGTCATGAACAATTTCCATATGCCATACAGAAGTAGCCTTTTTCTTTGGACACTAGGCATGGAATGTACTTTCGTTTTGCATATGCTTTTGCAGACGCCAGGTGCATACTGAAAATCATTACAAATATAAGGAAAAAATTCAGGATCAAAAGCAAATCTAACAATTCACATTCTTTACTTCTCTAAAATCAATGCAATTGGTTAGCTACTATAAGCTGCTACTGTTAGCAAACCTCCTTGTTGTTGGCCTTTTTTACACGTGCACATCAACTGCTTTTACTTATTCTTTGGAGGGCAGATGATTTGCAGCATTTCCTAACAATGTATGTATAGTCAAGACTTGACATTGGCCTTTTTTTTCTTAAATAAACACAGGTCATTGCAAAGGAGACACATTACTGAACTGTGGTAGCTTCATAGGAAAAAAGCAGTAGTTTAAGTAAATCACATCCAAAGTCAGAAGTATTTACTATAATGTGGTAAGAAATGCAGATGTAGCTCTGTTTTCTACAAAAGAAAATTCTGGATTTCACTGTTTAGTAAATACATTTATGTCCAGAATCTTAATTGACCTTCATCAGGCAAAGGATCATTTGAAAATACTGTTCAGTTGCAGAAAGAATTTAAAAAAATACAAAAGTTTCTAGTTGAAATACTTGCCAAAATCTGTTTTCAGTTTTAAGGCCATCATGTACGACAAAGTCACCACATCAGAGTGCCATTACTGTTGATATCCGGGAAAGGGATAACAGAATGAGAACACAGCATGAAGTAGAAAACCTCTGAAAAATGTCACTAGCAGTTACTTGCTGTAAAGTGGATAGAAGCCACAGTCCCTTAAATCTACAGTATGTGCTCTTCTATTTACATGTATCCTAAATGACAATATTACTGTGACTAGATATATAGCATTTGGCAGAATATGTCTTCAATGCAGGTGTCGACATCATTCGAGGTGGTGTATACGTGCATATAAAACACAGTTAATTTTAAAGTAACCCTAGAATAATATTGCAAATAGTGCTGTATAAACGCATAGGGTTTGAGGGGAAAATATTACTTCATTGGAAAATAAAGTCCTGCAGATTGAGTTTAGCACTAGTTTATCACTATGTCACTTTCTTTTTGATGGAAGACAACTCTTTTTGAATCTCACTGAATTTTGGCCGGTTTTCAGGTTTGTAGTCCCAGCACCTCTGCATTATTTTATATATTTCCTCTGGACACTTTTGTGGTGCTGACATTCGGTATCCTGGTAAAGGGAAAAATATTTAGTGTTGAAAAATGATATATCTAAACAAATCTAAAAATAAAGGAGGAAAGTTCAAGATCATTGCATAAAAAAAAAAATTTGAGGGTAGATTTTACATGACTTGTAATATGAACAAAGTCTGCAATATATTACCCATTTGAGCTGGCTAATTAGTCAACTAATTGAAGCTCAACTACCAATAACATTTAATTTGGGGTATGGTAAATTCCCCATATGCTTCTACCATCCCTAAAGGCAGCAACACACTTAGATTGGTTTCCTGAATCTGAGGATGTAGCTACCCACTTAAGTTTCAGTTCTGTCCGCCTCTTTTTCCCCACTGAGGAAATCAATAATAAACATTATGATGGGAGCAAATTTCTTTGCTCTCTTTTGCATCTACTTCTGTTCTCATGCTTCTACCACATTTTGCTCTCTTTAGAAGTTCCCTCTCCCATTTGTACTTTCTCCTTCCTTGCTTTACTCCCCGTGTTCTCTTAACTTACTTTAATATTTTTCCATACCATCTTAACACTCCTACTCTTCTGGTTTGCTCATACAGGCAGTGGCTTTCCACACCTCTGTGCTGTGATCAACTAAAGGAGGTCTCTGACTTAGCGGAGAATAGGCAAATGAACAATCACTGAAGTAAGTTATCAGCTGATCATTCAGAAGGCGCAGGTAAGTAACTGTTGTCCATACCCTGAGAACTTCCAAATTTTGGAACTGTATCAATTCCAAGGGATTACTCTTCTCAGTGGATTCATACAGAATCAGTAGTTAGGTGGTATGACTTGTTTTTATAAACACTCCTCTGCTCTGGAAAACATCAGATTTTTGCTTTGGCCTTCAAATTTCAGTGCTTGTCTGCAGCAATTATAATTAACAATAGCATTTTACATAAATCAGTGAACTAACTTTTTTATCATTAGCAGCTTTACTAGCTTAGAACCTGTTTATGCATTACACAGTAGTACTATGTAGAGGAAGAACAGTTTTGAAATGCCACTAAAAATAATAAAAAGGAATCAAAGACCTGAAATACTGCTCACAGTTATTTGCTACTTTATTTAAAGCCTTTTGACTATTCTGTAAGAGAGAACTGTGTCATGCACTGCTCAACCAGTTTGCCCATCTCCACCGTAATTGTTAAAATTTTGTCTGAAATGCTTTAAAAGAGAAAATGGAATGATACAATTTTTTCCCCTAGCAGTTGGGGAATATTACACCTGCATTAGCATTATCTTAACTAATTCATTCTAGTCAAGCTTCTGCTTTGCATGGCAATCAATCCCTCCTTTTCATCTCACCTTTTAGGTCTCTAATGGTGAAAGCCAACATTCTGTAACTCTTTCCTCCTTTAAGTTACTGGTCAGTATCTTCCTTCTTGCAAGAAGCCTATAAATCACACTACTCCTTCCAAAAAGCTAGACCTAACAATTAAATAGTCTAATAACATTTCTGTTAAAGTTGCTAGAAAACATTCATATGGCATTTCTTTGCTACTTTTATATTGTAGGTACCTAAGTCCCTATGGATCTGTACAGCATCTCTTCTGCTCCCCACAAATAACTACCTTTCTCCACTTGTTCTCGTGCTTGTTGGTTGGTCATTCCAGGGTATGGGCACACTCCTAAACTGAAAGTCTCCCACAAAAGGATTCCAAAGCTCCATACATCACTCTCCGATGTGTATCTCCCTAAGGAAAGGAGAGAAAACCAACGACTTAACTTACAGAATATTTCCAAGAATAATTCATGTTTTAGATAATTATGGACACAAATTTTCTGTAGAGGCATTATTTTGGCAGGCTTTAAAGAGAAGAAAACTGTAGCTCCCAATGAACATTCTTCAGATGCCATAGTCTCCCGTATTTCAAATGACAACCATAAAAGATCTACTTTTCTTTTAATACAAAAGGACAGGAAAATGTCAACTTTTTCTCCCTAGTTTACAATCACTTTCAATTCTGAAGATAGTTTTTTAAAAACATACCTTTTCCAGTTGCCTGACATAGCAGGGCAGTAAGTGTTCTGAAAGGAGCCAAAATCAATGGAATCCTTAATTGCAAAGAGAGCTTAGGTGTCTTACTCTGAGAAGCTACTGTCTGAAAATAAAACTACTTTACAGTTGTTTCAAGTGATTTGTATCTTGAAGAATGATGTGACCAATCAGTTAAAAAAAATCTGGCCTCCTGGTTCTGTTATCTTCAAATATGCTTCAGATAGATGGCAAAATTAAGATAACAGAATTCCAAACCTCATTGTAGAATGAAAGCCTTATAGGCTTATAGGATAGAAGGACAGGTCTTGGGGGAGATATTTTTATTATCTCTAATTGGATTCACATTAAGAAGTCTGGAAGTGACAGCTCCTAGTCCTTTGCAGCAGGGGCTATGAAAATATCTTAATATCTTTAATATCTTAAAAATCCATTTACCAAATTTCTTTTATCAATTTTCATGGCCGTATTTCTTTGTTATTTCTTTGTTATATTCTGTAAGTGTCTTTATTCTTAAAAGCATACATGTGCTTGCAAATGCATTGTTCTTTTCTCTCTGAGCACTAAACAAACCAAATTAGCTCACTTCTGTTACTTCCCTCTCCTCCTGCTGCATTTCCAGAATGGCCCTATAATCCTCTTGCTTGTGTCACATTTTCAGCTAATCACTGAAAGCCCAATATTCTTCACTTAGACTAGGAAAATACATGTAAATTAGTGATAGTTGGTGCTATGACAACTGTTCTGACATCAGAAAGTTCAGTTAGCTCTTAAACTAAATACCATTTCCAGCTGTGCTACATTAGCTTGTGTGCCTAGCAGATAGTAATTATGGACACTCACTATGCTGTTTGTGGCAAGATTAGTTTTCTTGTCTGTATATCAACTCTCTTCAGAGTTTGGCATCCAATAATTTAACACTTTTCATTAGAGTCATTCAGTAGACACAAGATAAAGTGACTAGTTTTGTTTAAAAGAAAGTACAAGTTCTGCACAGTCAATTATCTTTCCCACTATGATAACATCTGGGCAAAATAAGGGCATGCTCTTTTATAAACAAATAAATACAATAATTTATTAATGTTACCAAGAACTAAAAAACTGTAGTAGAAAGACATATGCATAAAATACCTGTATTTTAATTTTGAGAGAATAGGAAGCAAAACTACCCCACACCTTTGCCTAAGTCTGTAATTTTACTAGGTGCTTTTAAAGCAATTTTTTCACTTGCTGGAAGTGATGGAAATCAAGTAGCTCCAAATAAAAATAATGGGATGGAATGGCAATGAACACTACCCACTGAACTACAACTCAGGTAGCTTCAGGATTTCACTCATGACTTCAGACACTGCTCCATAACGATTTGTATTAATCTCGTTTCTAGAATTCCCAACTTGTATTTTATCATTTAAAATTTTTTTTGTGACTGCTATTAATTTGTCATATAAAGTGAATTCATAGTGATTTAAAAATGAACTTTTTGTTTAAGCACTGTATCATTCGTGTAATGGCCAAATGACCCTGTCTCTCATTTTCCTTCAACCCTTAAATTTTGCCACTGAGAACTGACATGCCCAGTGGTTGTCACCTGGTTTTGAGATACTGCACATTTAGTTCTGTCTCATTCTGGTATCCTTGATTACTTTCAACATTACCCACACAAATTAACGTAATACTTACAACCATATAATTAGGATGGTAAAACACAAACTAGTTATTTTTACTTGCACTTTTCAAGGGAGTGGAAAAAAAATGTCCCATCAAAAATAACTCAGAAAACTTGCAAAACATGGTTGAAGCTAAATATTAGACTGCTGAACACATTAACAAATTTTTAGATAGGCTATTTTCCAAACGCTGCAGAAAGACACTAAAAGCTGGCTGAGTATGGATGCATTTTAGGAAATATGAAATAAATAAAGATGTTTTCTCTCCTGTAAAGATACGGAAAATAGCTAAGGTTCACAAGTACAAAATAAAGGTGGTGTCACAAAAGCCAGTTTCCTCTGGGCTGTCTATGGTACAGAGAAATGGATTTCCATTATATAGCAAATAAACTGTAAGCACTTTTGAAATAACGACAATAAAAATCCGAAACACCATTTTATAGTGGGATAAATACCTGAAATAGAAGTTATATTCTGCAGTGAATATTATCAACACTAGCACCTCTTAGAATAATTGATAATACAGAGTCAATCACTGAAGCTACATTTATTGTTAGCTTTCCAAAGGAAAGTTTTGCATTACTGTGTTATGGTATTGGCTCCTGCAAAAATACTAATGAAAGGAAGCTTTTTTCTATCGATTATAAGTCAAAATGCTATGATTTCCACATGGTTTTAAAAAAGCTTTAAGATATGGGAGAAATACTTATAGAAAGATTTAAACATTTACTTTTTTTAAGAACTGAAGTAAAGAATTGCTTGACAGAATGGCATTCAAAACATGACAATCGTTTAATATGCTGCTTCTTCACAGCCTACTTTACTCAGTAGAACTTATTTCTTTAGTTTCACCTATCAACTAAAAAGCAAAATCTGGCATCTTCTATTTTTGTTCTGAACCTACTACCCACATAGTATGGACCACTTCCCTCAATCAGAAATAATGGAATTTTTCTCCCATGATAATAGCACAGTAATATATAAAAATGAAGGTTAAGAAAAGCTGCAGTTAAAAAAAAAATTCTGACCATATTTTTCTCTCATGCAAAGGTTTATCTAATAGAGTGCACTAAAATATTCAAATTTTCTACCATTTTCAAAAAAATGGTAGAATAATCACTGCCATAAGTGCATATTGCCATTCATTTTGCTAATGATTATGATTTAGGTGACTGACTAGGTGGTCAATTGCAATGAGTCAGCAGAGTAACTAAAGTATTAGTTTATTGTTAAATCCGTAGCAGTTTTGATATTGCTGCCTTGTTCTTTCTGAAGAGAATAGTATTTTATACATAACTTAAATGAGGCGGAAATATTAAAACTATTTTAAACATCTGTTGTTCTGAGCTGGGCACAAGGAAGAAGAACATATTCTCAAATATTGTCCATGGTGTAATTCTCCTGCATCTTATTTTGAATATATTTATAGTAAGAAAATAAAGGGCTATCCTCACCATAGTTGAGAGCTTCTGGAGCAGTCCACTTGATAGGAATCTGCTTTAAGCCTGAAGATGAATATACTCCATCATCTTCTTGACGAGACATTCCAAAATCACTTATTTTCAAAATGTTGCTTTCACCTACCAAGCAGTTCCTTGCGGCCAGGTCTCTAAGTTAAACCAAGAAATAAACAGTCAAATTTGTACAGATTCAAGAGCTACTCAGGACTTCAGGAAATTATATTTTGGCTTACTGATGGATGAGAAGCCCAGAAAAATCAACAACCTTCTTTACCCTACCTCCACCTCAAGGATTCTTTTCAGATTAGGAGACAACCTGTACTAATAGCTGATAAAAGGACTAATACAGCTTCTTTACAGCATAAATTTTGAATAATAATAAATTAAGGTTTTTAGACAGTAAAGTGTTAGCTAACAGAATTAATTCTGTAGCATCAGTAGCAATTCATGGGCAAAGTATTTTTTTTAATTTATAATGTTTGGTTTCAGTTTAAATAGCTAAAATGAGTTGATGTACATGAATATTCCACAATACCTGCATTAACTTTAATGTTTTGAATTGGAGCTGCAGCTTTGTTTTGAAGTGAACGCCCTGAGCATTCCCATTTACTTGCACATTCATTGGTTTTGAAGAGTAGTTTAGGTGCAAGCAAACTAGATTCCTTTGGGAGGAGACTAATGTAGAACTGTGCCCAAGGCACGCACCAAATTTGTAAGATTTTATTGCTTTGCTCAATACAGTCTGGATGTTGCGACAGATACACACAGGGAATGGAAAAAGTCGTACGAGGTAGATTCTCAAAGAAAATTTATAGAGCCAGTTAAAATCATGGACATCTTCCTACCTGAATCAGACCTAGTATTTAAAAATGTTCTGAGTCTGATTAAGAGAGCTCTCACAGATTTATTCCTCATATTTAGTCAATTTAGTAAGGGAAAATATATTGGAAAGAGTATATACAGTATAATGCTTGTACATGACGAATATGCACAGTTCATCTAACTTTTGTGTGTTTTGTATGTGCTAGTTTTCTTTTTCTTTCACAGTAATCTAAAAGAGGCAGTTTTTATAATTACCAAAAGTTTTCAAACACACTTCCATGACAATCAAACTGGTACCTGAGAAAGCTGGTTAACATTATGACGCTATTTTCTGGATATAGGTGAATCAACACAAGGTCCTTTGAAAGACCAAAGACACAGAGTGTTTTTGCTTCATGAAACTCTCGTTTTAAAGCTGTTCTATCAGCTGGCAGCGGGTCGCTGAATCGCGCTATTCCAGCTGCCACACTGTACGCAAGCACCAAGGGAGGGCCAATGGGCCAGGGATCAGGTAATGACCCGCAACTTGTGCAGGTGGACATAACTGTTAAGTCCATCATCAATCTTTCTGGGCAAGTGGTTTCCTCTTTCTTTTTGTCTCAGTTACTCATCTATCAAATAGGGAAGAACTTTTATCACCATCTTTCACAGAGCATCAATACAAATTTAAGAAATAATGAGTGCCCAGCTGACAACAGCGAGATAGAAAAGGATGCATTGTAAGATAAGACACGTAACTTACTAATAAAGATATAATTAGCATAGCAAATATAGTAGTGCAGGTCATGAGTCTCACAGTATTATATCTTTTTTGCTTTTAACTAGAACATCCACCCTTCTAAAGCTATAACAGTATATATTATTTCTGTTAATAAAGTCTCTTGAGGACTTACTATGCTTACTTCTATTTTAAGCAGATTTATTCTTTTCCTTTCTTATACGTCAGGTGTGCTCTTTCTCCCGCTTATTTAGAAAAGACTTTAGATGTGAACTTCTCTTTCTCTTTTTCATTAACTTTAGTCATAGTCTTTTTAATGGGTTTTTTAATTTCCTTCCTCACGCATTTAGTTTTCTTTTTCAGGATTCCTCTCAGGGTTGGTTCTTGGATTGTGAACCAGCAATGTTCAGCAGATCCACTGCCCTTTAAAATCATGCTAAATGCCAACCAAAAATTTTGTTACTTTGTACTTTTAATAACTTGCTGCTCAGGAGGGTGAAATGGTGCAATTACAATTTCATTATCAGTGTTCCACTATCAGCCATTTCATATTCTGTTAATTACATCCACGGTAAGTGAATTTTCAGGTTTTTCTTTTCTCTCTGTTTTCTTACTTGGAATTTCTCCACAATTTCTGTTCTTTTAACATTTATTATGTTAATTGCTCAAGTTGCTTACAGATGTCATGCATGTCAGGTATTTTGTTAGCAATTCCCTTGTCATTTTACCTCTGTTTTGTATTCCTAGCAGTGCTTGGTGAATATTCCAGATTTCCCTATTTGTATTTATATGCTTAAAACTGTTTTTAAAAAGTACTGTTACATTGACATTTATAACTTCCTCATGGTTTTTTTCTTTATTTTGAGCATGTTGCTTAGATTTTTCAGTTTAGTCCAAACAGTTTCTTCCCTGTTTCTCCTCATCTCTGACATGTCTTTTGATCTAGAATTAGGCTGATAATTTTGAGTCTAGATACAAGAGAAAAGGCCAAAAATACACTTTGGCCACTGTGATTCATTAGAGAACTTGTAGCTAGCATCTGACAAAAGTAAGGGTCTCAAAATATTAGCTCTATTGCTTTAAATAAATAACAACTTTAATTTTCTTCCAATTCTCAGGATTCTAATTCATTTTAGAAACATCTTTTATGTTTATAATGTTCTACTTGCTCCTGATAAAAGGAAGCAGGGTATTTCACAGCAGAGTATCCCTGTATACTCCCTGAAATGCATATACCATTCCATTCTCTATCCCATCTCTTTCGTATGACCAGCCTATTTCACAACATTTAGTTGCTCTCTCTTCTAAACCTCTCCTATCAGCTAGGCTTGGTCTGGAGGCTGTTCCACTGCATGGACTAAGAAACAAAAATATTCCTCCCTTTTCCGCACAAGGAGGAAATAGTCCTTTTTTTACTTCCTTCTCCTCTCTCTTGAAATGGCCTTCAAGTAGAAGCATATTTTATTACATGCGGCATAGTTAAGAAGCAGAAAGGCTAAAAGTGATATTGGTATAATGCTGTTAAGGGGCCTATAGAAAAACCTTTACATCTTATTCTCTGTATGAAATACAATGGGGTTTCATTCAAGAGACAATAGGTATGATAGATGACATCAGTGAGTAAAAACAAAATAAACTGTAAATATATAGAGCTGATGATTAGAGAACTACTGTGAAAAATCAATATTACAGATAACTACCCTGTTAAATATTTGTAATAACTCATCACACTTTCTAGATGGTCTTTTAAAATAAATGTGTTCAGTTTGTTTTCTCTTCTTCTTAACTTTCTGAAAAGTAAATATCCTAAAGAAGGACAGATACAATTGCAGGGAATTAGATGCTTCTCTGGATGGGGCATTGTTTTTCTTTTCATATACCATTTACTACTTGCTGCAGTAATTCCATAAAATCAGCATTATTGTTAACATATAAAGGCAGCAAATACTCATTATTTTGCATTGTGAAAGCTAAACAAATTGGGCACAAATTACACTCAGCAGCTTACAGAAAAAGTTCATTAGTAAAAGAAAAGCTATGACTTTCACTGTTTGATACGATGGTTATAGAAGCTCCTACGGGTATTAAAAACAAATGAAAAAGCCCCTTACTCTAACTACCAAAGAGGAAAACATTAATATGTAAAGCAGAAATCTCATTTTTAAGCACTATGCTAAAGTTTCTATCAAACCATAGACTGCATATGGCTAATACAGGCTGGGCTGCTGAAACTACAGCAGATAGCTCTAATGACTTTTGCTGAAAATCCAATAGCAAGTTAAAGAGGAAGTGGAGGCAATTTCTTTGTGCGAGAGTCGCTACCTTCTGGATTCATATCTGTCAGCGAGGACTTAAACCCCAAACTTTTCTTTCAGAACGCCCTGGAAAGAGCTGCATAGCAAGTAATACCCAGTATTTCAATGGGATTCCACCCATTAAAACAAAAAAGAGACAAACCTCACATTACAAAACCCGCAGGACAGACTGCCTCACTGAAGTGATTAGTCATGTTTTACCTCTTCCCTGGACCAAGTAGTTAAAACATCCTCAGCTGATAAAAACAAGTAATCAGTGAACAAGTTCAGTATACCTTCTTTGCACGTTTAATTCAAAATAGTCCATTATCTGATCAAAGAAGAAGGGGTGGCAAGTCTACAAGTGAAACTGTTGTTTTTTGTGCTCTACAGATATATCCAATCTTTCAACCACTTCAGGTAATTTCCAATGCTGGTTGGCTAATTAAATCAAAACACATGCATTTCAAAAGGTTCTTGCTGTGCACATAATGCTACTTTTTCTCTGTGTGAAGAACATATCAAATAGTGTCTAATAGCAGATTTGAAAAATAAATATTAGAGGATCAGAAGCACATCCTTCCAAGTGCTCCTCCTTTACACTTTATTTCTTCTTCTTATTGTAGTTATCACACAATGAGTACTAATGGAAAAATATTAACTGTAATGCTAATCATTTCTCAGTTCCTCATGTAACTCATGTCCATCCTCTTTTTCACAGATGACTAGTAATAAGACACTAGAGACGATCCAAGCTAGCTTCAGTAGTGATTTCTCCATAATCTCAGCTCTTCTGCTTGCTGTCTGTATTGTTAGACATTGTTTTTTCCCAACTATAAAATAAGTAGATTTCCCCACCTCAGAGCAATAGTGACATGCTGTAAAGCATTTTGAGATTTTCAGATGAGGGACTTCATTTTTTTTCCAAAAACAACTCAAAAAACTGCCCCAAACAAACAAACAAACAAAAAAACACTCAGAATGACCATCTTCAGTAACTGAACACAACTACACAAACTAGACTTATATCTAAAAACACATACCTTTTTCAACAGATATAATTCCTGTGATTGAACTGCTTAAATACTATTTCCACAGCACCTTTATTTTCTCCACCTGTAAGACTAAAACATTATCCTATATTCCAGGAATAGTCTGCATTGCACTGCTCACTCTCATTTTCATGATAGTTACTGCTATAGTATAAAATTATTTATTATACCTTGGTGAACTATCCTTGTGAACTAAGGTTACTAAGATAGTATTAATCAAAAAGCAAACTCTGTAAGTAATACAGGTCAAAGAAAACAGAAGA